AGCAAAATGGCGTGGGGAGAGAGCAAAGAGAGTCAGAAGACTGGTGGTGATTGCAAGGTGCATGAGCAACAAGTAGTTAACCTAAGACGATAGGGAGCGCTAAATAAGTAAGTGAAAAATTACTATGTTGCCGCGAGAAAGATATAACGGTCAATTAGCCGTAAGACAGCGGGAAGGTTGGATGCAGATATTCTAAAGGAATAAAGCTTATTATGAAACGGAGTAGCTCTTAACAAGCACTAGATAAAAGCATAGATAAAAGCATATGCATGCAGCCTACGACCACTAGCTACTTATAAACAGAGGTGCTGGGCTGAAGCCGTAGACAGTGGACATGCGGTGGATGTGGTGTTCATTGATTTCGCCAAGGCCTTTGACACTGTCCCTCATTTGCGACTCTCACTGAAGTTGAGGTCGTATGGAATAGCTGGTCGCGCTCTCCAGTGGATGTCAGCTTTTCTGGATGGACGTGCACAGTGTATTCGTGTGGGAAGCAGTCTTTCGATTCGACAAGCTGTACTTAGCGGCGTTATTCTAGGCTGTGTCCTAGGTCCGCTGCTATTTTCTGTCTACGTGGATGACTTACCGGAGGAGCTTGCGGTACCATCGCTCTTATTTGCTGATGACCTAAAGCTCTGGAACATTGTTGATATCCCTGGAGGTCCCGCGGCTCTTCAACGGGCTTTGTATAGACTCTGGGAATGGTCTGTCTTGTGGTTGCTGCCCATAAACCGGGCAAAGTGTTCAGTGCTGCGTATCGGAGCGTCTGCTTCCTCCACAAGTTATGTGCTTGATGGGAGTGAACTGCCGCACGTGATTCATCAGGTTGATCTAGGTGTCGTCCACTGTTCCACACTACACTCTGGCGACAACTGGAAGAAGGCGGCTAGTAAAGGGTTCCGGATGTTGTGGTTTATCCGTCGTTCTTTTAGGACCCTAACCGCTGATGTGTTTGTGAAGTTTTTCTCTGCGTTTGTGCGACCCCACCTGGAATATTGCGTCCAGGCTTGTCCACCATGCCTTGTCCGGGACACATGGCACTAGAAAGGGTGTTGCGTGTCGGTACTAGGTTGGTCAAGTGATTACGAGGACAAACGTACCCCGAACGCCTACTTAGTTTGGGGATGCAGTCAATGCACTATCGAAGGATTAGAGGGGACCTAATCCTAACCTACCGTATTTTGACTGGGGTTGGCCCTGATTTGTCCATGCTATTTAGTCCTGCTAGATTATCTGGTCTCCGCGGGCATTGTATGAAGCTGGACAAAGTGCGGTCCGATCGAGTTACAGCGGAGACACGGTTATCGCGTCGAGTCATCGAGCGCTGGAACCTGCTTCCAGAACATGTTGTCAAGGAAGCTACGGTTAAGGGGTTTGAGCGTCAACTAGACGCTTTTGGGTGGCAACACGAGACCTTCCGTTTTTTCTGAAAAATTCCCATCTTCATACTTCGATTCTATTTTCTTTACTTTTCCTCACCATCGGTATTATTCTCTTCTTTTACCTGATTTCCCCTACTCTCTTACCTTCGTTTTTTCTTCTCTCTTACTTCACGTAACTGACAGCTGGGACAGGTAGTGTGAGGAACGTGGGCATTAAATTGGTGGACCAGTGTGTCTTTTCGGATGTTTTCGTTTTAGACCCATCATGAAGTCGGAGCACCCCTAGCAACTCATGGATCGACGACCCGCTCAAGAAGGAACCATTACGGGATTCATCCTATCGTTCTAGTCCCACTTGAACTTGAACTTGAGATTGTGAGCAGTAAAACGTTGGAGGTGTTATGCAGTTTTTGTGTTAGGCTTTTAAATATCTCACAGACCTATCAGTTGCTACTCAAAGGCTACGCAAACGAAGGAATATTCACGGTGGTGTCCTATTGTTGCTGTCCCAACTGAGCTTAGATTTGAATCCCTTGACTGGTTGTACCTTAGGGCCTCAACCATATTTTGTGTTTGTGCGTATCGTTAACGGGTCGGTCCTGTTTTGCTGCCCAACTCTTAGCTTTGTTTGCATAGTTTTTACTCTTTATAATAATTTTATGATACGATTTGATGGGTAGCCAAGAATTGCAACATTTTCTCTAACTGTTTATTGCTTTTCAGACATGATCAACGTATGTCTGACGCTGCTCTAACTGAACTGCTTTCACCATTCCGTTTTCCCCTTAAATTAATCCGGTAATAGGATGTAGCATAAAATTGAAGCAATGCACGGTTCAGTCGCGTTGAGTTGTTTCTTTTGTCTACTGAGACGTTTCCGTTCGCCTGTACATCGTGATCACGAGAAGGTTAATCCACCGAAACAGATATGGTCGCCGATTTTTGTTCAGGCTATTTCGGCTTTTCATCAGGCCTAGTACTCGTTGCATTTTTAATGCAACATTTCAGTTCGCAAACTATTTGTGTAACGCCAGTTCGCATTTGATGGGTGTTCATTCCAAAACGTTTGCCGATTGCTTCTTTGTGTTCTTTCAGATGGCATTAGAGTAGGTGATACACTGTGCGTATGGACACCTTGTGTCTTGGTTATCGACGCTTGTTGTAGGTCTTAGTGTAACAATCCACCCTGGAGACCATTGCCCCGGATGTTCAGGTCCGCTCCCCCGTATAGGTTTTGACGTCCCGATATTACCACCTGCCGAGTGCAACAACTTTCAATTTATTGATATCAAGATGTCAGTTCAAGAAACATGTTCATTATTGCACTTGGATTCGTTTTTGCTTGGTGCGTGCAGCCGTTCAGACGGGTAAATTCTTCATCTAAATCGCACAAAAACCTGGTGTTACCACCACCCCAATGGCAACGTGGGTGCTATTCGCCCATGTTTTACTGGCTGCTTCGCCCTATATCCTTTTTGTTTGCGTGGATTTGGTCCGCGGTAGCCACAATGTGTGAGTTTCCACTCATCTAAATCTACTTCGCTTTTACTTACCACTAAGCGTTATTCTCTTTTGCTGTACTATCTTGGATCTCAGCTCGATGTATGTAATTGATTTCTTTTCTTTCAATATACAGGGTCCTGCTCTGGTCCACTTAGCCACCTGACCAATTCACTGACCTTGTAGATCTAATTGCCATTGTCCTTTTCACTCTGCTTGTAGAACTATCAATGTTTAGGATTACAAGGCAGTAAATGTTACAAAATAAATAATGACTCCTCGGCTGTAGGCCGTAATGGCGCTTCGCTGCCGCACGACCACCAGCCGCGCTTGGGCTGTGTATACCTCGAGGAGGTCCGCTCCTACATGGATTCGAACCGGGGATCTTGATTGCAAGCAAAGAGTGGAGACCACTTGGCCGGCTGCACTTTAAGTGGAAATGAGTGTACCATACCAGCGTTTCAACTTCCTTTGTGTCCAACGCGTACAGGGGGTCGTAACAGACCCTTACAGCTGCGGCACAAAATAAATACCTCGGGGGCAGCTGGATGCTCATATTACAACCACCTAGTTATATAACGAGCTAAGGAGCTAAGCGAAGTATATATATATATATATATATATATATATAAATATATACATGTATATACATGTATATGTTTATGTGCCCCATGCTGAGGCTGATGTTGCATTCTTGATGCTTCTTCACCGCAGTTGGGCTAAACCAACTTACACTTAAACTAGGTCTTTTTAAGCTGGCTAAATTTCATTTCGCTTTATTTGGTTTGTTCTGCCTCCCTGAATAATGTTCTATTAACTGGCCACGTTGATTACACTAATTGCGCTTATCTTCGGTAATTTTGTTGCGTTTGTAGCATTTTAAGTAACTTGTGGACATTTCTTACTTATCACCGATTTGTTGATAACCAAATTCCTTCATATGGTAATTTAGCGAAGAGTTATGCCACCGTATCTGTATGCATTATTGGATTGATTTAATTTCAGCTTGTCGTTTAAAGTGAATGGCTGTTGTTTGATATCCCTGGTATGGTTGCGCTTGATGTGTATGTTGACAAGGTGCCTACCTGTCTATTACCCACTACATCGTTCATACTGGCTCCAGGAGACAGTTGGTCGTTGCTGGAGGGGACGGGGTGCACGGTTCTTGTGGCCGTGCTAGGCTCAAAGAGCGGTTCCATGCACTCAGTGTGGAGCGGACTACGGTCCAGCCACCGCCTTGTGTGCGGTTGATTCCCCAAATACAGCGTGCTTGTGTCTGCCTGTGAAGGAGTGTGGGCCGGCTCCGTTGATGAAACGTGGTTCCCATCCGCATGCCTCCCGGTCTTATTCCTTCGGGTTTACACTGGATATGGGGTATGTGGTTGGAACTGTGGGTGGTGCAGCGCAAGCCATCCATGGTCCCTCTGTAGGCGCAGGCGTTCTGTGGCTTGCCACAGTGACAGGCAAATCCGAAACCGGATGCCGCCAACCATGTTTATGTATATGTTTATGTATATATATACATATATATAAGCAGAATACATTGTTGTAGAGCAATAAGGGTAAGAGAAAACAATCATAGCAATGGAAGCGACACTCATCGACTTGTTACAAGCCCGCCTGCGGATTGGTTACAATGAGTACCATGCAGATTTTAGCTGTTACAGATTAAATCGGTATCCAGAAGCAATGGGCCAAATCCAGGTGTCACTTGTCGGCCGCATCGTGCAGGATAGCGTCTCTCTGAGCTTCACCCAAAGTAGCGCCACGCGTGCATTAACCTTGTAGTGGGAAGGCCAAACTATACTGGCTTGACTACATAAATGAACTCTCAGTCTATTAATAAACATGCTGGACCTGACCTTCGGTAAAGCACACTCCTCGGTAGGCCGTCAGTTGCACAATCCGATCGGAAGACGCAACTTAGTCGGCATAATAATTCGACGCCGTGGATTCGATGATCGATAAACGAGGTTAGCAGACCGATGACGATCAACAGCATAACACGTGTAGCCGAAACCAGAAGGCGAATTGGCACCCGAAGAAGTCTTTTATCAGTTGTTGGTCATTTAAAACAAAACTACACAATAATGGAAATGGGAATATGAAGGTACAATTGGGAAGAGAGATATGTACAATCGTTACGGAACTCCCCCTCTAGTGTGAGTAACAGACCGAAGCTCGATACTTGTATGTCATTGTAGTCTGGATGTGAGAAAGACTGCACGTCCGAAACGTGTTCGGTGGTGCGATTTCGAGTTTGGGTCGTGAGATGCTTGGGGTGCAGAAGAGAGAACAGAGTTGTCACATGGGCTGAGTCGGAGGCGTACTTAGGAAGGTGGGCTGGTCAGTGACATGAATGTCCATGGGTTTCGGTAGTGGTCGCGTCTCGATTTAAGCCGGCCTCAAGTAGTAAATACTCAGTTTCCCGATAACCATTTCTATCCAGCACGAAGTACTTCTCTTTCCGGTCAACAACCTTAAAGGGGCCCACGTAATGCGGTCTCAGAGGTTTACGGACGGAATCGACACGCACGAGAACAAAGGGGCAAGTGCGCAAATCCGGGTGTATCTGTTGACTTCCAGGATTGGTTTGCGGTGGTGTTGGACGAAGTGTACTAAAGTGTTGCTTCAGGTGTGTGACGTAGGTGGTCGGATCAACGCCTCCAGTAACCCTTTAGTCTAGCACCATTTCTCCAGGAATTCTGAGAGTAGTGCCAAAGACCAACTCAGTGGGACAACCGCCAATGTCTTCTTTAATGGTGTTACGAATACCAAGGAAGATAATCGGTAGACGTTCTGACCATTGTGAGTTCGACTGCGAAGCAGTAATTGCGGCTGTAAGTTGGCGATAGAAACGTTCAACGATGACCTTAGCATCTGGGTGATGGGCCGTTGTCCGTAGGTGAGAACAACCGAGAAAGCGATTCATGTCACGAAACAAGGCAGAATAGAATTGGGGCCTTCTACCGGTTATAGTAGTGGCTGGCGTACCAAAGACGGAAATCCAATTCTCAATGAATGTTCGCGTCACAGTTTCTGTAGAAGCATCACGTAAAGGCACAACAAGTGGCCAACGCGTATGACGATCAACACGTGTCGATAAGTGGACAAAACCGTTGGATGGAGGCAAGTGTCCAAAAATGTCAAGATAAACGTTTGAAACGAGCGTCGGGAAGAGCAAACGTGCCGGGGAAGACAATCGTTTAACGGTGGATCTTGCTGGTTTGGCAAGTGATACAGTGTTTGGTCCACTGCTGGATCTCGGATCGCATGTTGTTCCAAATGAAGCGATGAGCAATCAGCTTGACGGTAGCTCTGGTGTGAGATTCCATGTAGGTGGTCAACGACAATACGGCGGTATTACTGAGGGACATAAGGCCGGGGCTTGCCGGTAGAAATGTCACAGTAAATTTTGAACTCTGAGTTAAGGATTGGCGACTGGGATATTTCGATTGATGGATTTGATCTCAGTTGCACAAACTCAGGATCTCCTTCCTAATGAGCTGCTATGTCTTCTAACTTAATCCTCTGCCGTGAAACTTCTTGAAGACATACGCGACATGGCATCGGCGACAAAATTATTGGCAGCATCAACATATCATCATCATCATCATCATACACGTTAGCTAGAGGTGGGGAACACCTCAGCTACTGTGCCGAAATACATAGAAAAAAGGAGAAAAAATGCAACTGGTGCAAGCTGGCTGAGCTACCGGTAACGGATGGGCATCGTTCCGGTAAGCTACCAGCCGGCTGCTGTGCACCAAAAAAATTACTATGCAAAATTATATAAGGCTAAATAATGAGATCGTGGTTGGAGGGGGAGGCTAAGAGGGATGGGGTGGGACAAAGAAACTCACAGCACGAACGCCACTGAGGTCGGCTCCTAGCCATATCAGCAACTGTATGCAACCAAACGTGTTCATCGTCTTTCGGATCCCAACCAGGGAGCCGAGACGCTCCAACCGAGGCCAGATTCGAAGTGAGGGCCTTCATTCCTCTCGACCAAGTCATCGCTTGGCCACCTCTCTTCTTCCATCCACACCCCCGGCGCGCAAACAACGAACGTCGCGGGAGCCGGTGGACTGGCATGCGTAACACGTGGCGGAGCCATCGGAGCCTGGTGCGTGAAACAACGGTGCTAAGCGGTTCATTTCCTTTTCCTGTGCCGTAAACAAGGCTTCGAACACCCTCATTGCTTACTCGGTGTTCCCATCAGATGTGACCTAAATTGTGAAGGCACCGGTGGTCGAACGTAACTAGTCTCTTTATGTCCGCTGATCTAATGGGCCAGGTTTCACAACCATACACTAGGGTCGAACGTACCGCTTCACCGTACACTCTACCCTTCAGGGCGAGAGTGATGTCACGCCGGCGCCATAAGTGGCGAAGGTTAGCAAACCGCCTCGAGCATTTGCTATACGGTTCGTGATCTCATCTTCACTCCCAAGGGCGCTGATACAGCTTCCCAGGTAGTTGAATTTTTGAACGACTTCTAGCTGATCCCCACCAAGGGTCAGCGTAGGGGGCGGTCCAGAGCAATCTTGGAGGAACGCTTTGCACTTCGGTAGTGCAAAGCAGAACCCGAAGCGGCTGACAGCCAGTGCTAATCTGTCCAGTGCCGCTTGGCACGTTTGTGAGCTGTTACAGATTAGGGCGATATCATCAGCATATTCTAAGTCAATGATTCGTTCTCCTGGGAGCAGATCCACACCTTCTAAGTCGTGTCCTGTGAACGCGATTTCCATGACTTCGTCAATAGCGAAGTTGAAGAGGAAAGGGGACAGCAGGAATCCTTGTCTCACACCGCTAGAGATGTTAAAGGGTGTTGACAGCTTGCTGTAAACCCTCACTCTGCCCGTCTTATGCGCGTATAATGCTCGGATAATGTTTACATATTTCTTAGGTACACCTTTTCTGAGTAGACAGTTCCAAAGTGCACGTCTATCCACCGAATCGAATGCATCTTTGATATCGTGGAACACGACAACTGTGGGCCGCCAATATGTGTGACGGTGCTCCAATAACTGACGCAAACTGGAGGTGTGGTTAATGCAGCTGCGACCTCGATGAAACTCGGTTTGCTCTTCACGAATATGGCTTTCACGAGTGCTAGTCACTCTGTGAGGAGTGACACAGGCAAGCAATTTGAAGGGGTGACTATTAGACTGATTCCTCTATGATTGTCGCATCCCGATCTTGAGCCTCCTTTGAAAATCGGGACTATGACGGAGCGGTTCCAGTCGGTTGGGACAGTTTCCTGCTCCCACAGTTTCACTGGTAACTCGTATAAATCATCCACAAGAGCAAGTCCCTCGAATTTAAAGTGGGCTGGAGGTAGATCATCTGATACCGCGGCTTTCTCTAACTTCAACAGTGCGTTCTCTCGTTCGACTTCTGAGCGAGAGGGTGGATCCAGAGGGACGGCCCACGGAGCGGGGCGATCAGTGGCCGGCGAGAAATCTAACAAATCCGATCGATTAAATTGCCTTTCAAAATGCTCAGCCCAACGCTCCAAGCTTTTTGACAAGTTGGGGATAGGCTGTCCACTCTCGTCACGTAGTTTCATTAACACCAGGTCTTCTGATGCCCGTTTCCCGTATCAGCCGGGATAACTTACGATGGTTACCAAGGGCAGCGGCCATTTCCATCTCTGATGCACGACGAGACCACCAGGATTCGCGGTCTCTCTTCAGGTTAGCAGGGAGTTTTGCCCTGAGCTCTTTGCGAGTTTCATTGTGTTCGCTTCCAGTCGGAATATGCCGGCGAACATCGATAATTTCCAGAGATTGCGAAGAGACCCAATGTCCGTGTTGGCGACTAGACTTACCACATGAAGATTTGCCTGCTGCTAGTACGGCCTGGTGAATATGAGACCAGTGAGCTTCAACTGCATCCAGTGATCGCTTATTCAATTCGCATGACAGCGTACTTTGAGAGTCATTCAGAACAGCTGGCTTCGCCAGTTGGCTGGTGTCAATGCGTTCACAACGTCGTCTTGGGCGTCCGCCAAAACGTATCCGCAGGTCAGCACATACAAGTGCACGGTCGGCTCGTCTGCCGGTGTCTCGAACCTGCTCTGACGGAATTATTACACCATCTGGTGAATTCTTGCGTACCTTCGACCCGTTTTTATCTTGGCATACTAATTTGTTTCTTACAGTAAAGCTTCCAGCCGAAGTTTAATGCACGGTTTTATTTCGAATCCGGTTACTATTTTTCCCCTCCGGCTGTGTTTTCGATATAGGATCACAGGATTGTAGAGAGCAGAAGCAAAAATACTTTGTCAGTTCCATCGCTTCCCAGTCATTGTGTGGAGCCCGCGATTCGTGTCGAAGCGGTATTCCACAGGGCACCGTGACAGCTACAGTGGAAGCTGCAAGAGCCCGTCGTACATGACCTTGGATAACGACGTCCTTTTGGATGTTCCGTTCCACCTAGGTATTCCTAGTGAAGCAAAACGACAAGATATCCTTTATTTCAAGAGCTTCTCACCAGGTAGTTGAACTATTTCAAATATAACGCACCGTGAGCTCCAGATGCTTGCATTAAGTTATAGGGGTTACGTCCCGCTCGAAAGCCGTTCAATGCTTTTTGTGCGATGGATGACTGCACATTACCTACCGTAATATCGATGCACGGATGTACGAAAACCTTCGGCGGTAGACTGCAACTTCTGTTACTTGTCGGGCCATACGTTTCACGACCGGTCTGCTTCCGCTCACTCACGGCAGGTCAGATCTTCAGGGACGAAACACGCCTTCTCCTAACGGGCGTCCAGTTTCGTGTGTCGATAAGCAAGTCAAGGCCCCCGTCACTTCGACGTTCAACCTTTACTCCTACAGAGACAAACAAATGTACCAGAAACGTCTTCTGACTATATGAAATCATTTGTGACATCCTAATGGTACTAATTGAAATCCACCGATCTCAGTGCAATTACGGAAACAGAATGGACCAATTTGTATCCAGGCCGCTTATAAAGGTTTCTATAGTATTACATTCCACTAGTGCAGGGGAAGTGAATTCAAATTACGTACTGCGCGGTTAGTGCAAAATTTCGCCTGGATATCCAGTCTGGACCTTTGCGTCATGCACTCCAGATGGTGTCCCCCAGGTGGTCCGACATAGCTAGTTCAAAGAGATCAGTAGACTTAATGCCACTGATACCCTTCATAATCTTAAACGTTTCTATCAGGTCTCCCCTTAGTCTGCATCGTTCCAATGAGGAGAAGCCTAAACAATCCAGGCGGTAAACATACGACTTCTCACGATGGCTTTCAACCATTCTGGTGGTCACTATTTGTACCTTCCTTATGCAACGAGACTAGACCTTAACGTAGTGCGACGGTTTACGTACCTCCTTGACCCCTTGAGCTATACTGGGTGGAGACACCGGGCTACGTGAAAGCCACTTCTACCAGGTTGGTGAATGGCCCTCCAAGTTGGGGATTTGATTGGGACAACGTCCATTTCTGTAAAACTAAATCATTGTCACCTACCCCCTGCTTTGCGGACAGGCTTCTGAGCCAAAGGCTTTCGTTGAGGACCCTAATCGTCCTCCTGTTTAGGTATGGGCGCCCTGACAGTATCTCAGCCCACATACAACCATGACATTTTCAAACAAACTTCATCCTGCATCGGCCGTCGCGTAGCTTATCAAGGGTCTAAAATGTTTTGGAAAACTGGTAGCTCGGGTTGATAATTCAATTGCTCATTTGTTCGCCGAGCTGCGAAATTGGTTTGCAAACGTTTCACCGTCATGCGAGACGGCATCATCAGTGCGTCGAGATATGCAGTGTAATCTCGCTGATTGAATTGTCGACCCGTGATCGGCGTGCAGGTGACATTTCGAAAGTGACGGCTTCGATCTGAGTCCCGTGATCTCTACCCATTTCCCCGTGGCGGAGGTCGTCGCTTGGGTTGTTCCTATTCAAGCGGCGTCTCATAATTTCTCTAAGTTCTCTCCGTCGGAGGGGTTGGTAAACCGGGTCAATCTCGATATGCATGTTGATCGAGTCTTGTGTTGAGAACCACGCTTCCAGGAATTCCCTTGCTCTTCTTGTTTCACCTCGTGCCAGGACTTCTGTGTTGGCCAAGTCGAAGCTGTGTTCTTTTTCATCCACATGTGCTGAGACTAGCGAAGATGCGTAGTGTTTTTTGCATGCTCTTTTATGCTCTTGTAATCTTGTTGTTAATTTTCTGCCTGTTTGGCCAACGTAGTCCTTTTCGCAATTTCTACAAAGTAGTCTATATACAACATTGCTTTGCTCATGAGCTTCCAGTTTCTCTTTCGGTTTCGACAGAGTTTTTCTCAGTGTAGCAGTTGGTTTGTGTGCTACGATGAAGTGATGTTGTTTGAATAGTCTTGCTGCCATTTCGGATATATTCTTCATATAAGGTAAAACAACGCGTCTCTCCGTCGTTGGTGTAGACTGTCTGTTTGGTTTGTTGTGGTTCAGACACCTTCGGATGAAGCTTCGTGGATATCCGTTGAGTTGGAAACATTTAAATAGGTGCTTCTCTTCTTGTTGCTTTGCTTCCGTGGTACTGCAGTGTGTTTGCACTCTACCAAATAGTGTCCGCACACAGCTTACTTTGTGGCATTTCGGATGGTTACTGTTAAAATTCAGAATTTGGTCCGTATGTGTCCATTTTCTGTAAACTGATGTTTGCAGCCTCCCTTCCATGGTTCTGGTTACCAAGACATCCAGGAAAGGCAGTTGGTTTTCCTTCTCCATTTCCATTGTAAACCGGATGTCTTCAATGGCGTTGTTCAATAGCTGCTGTGCGACTGTAACTTGATTGCGTTTGATGATCACAAAAGTGTCGTCAACATATCGGACCCACAGTTTTGGGATTAATGAGTGGGAGTACATCTCCCTCCAATTTCTGCATTAC